TCTTGGCTGGTTTAGAAGTAATTTAGAAGACCGAGTGCAAGTTGTTACAATTGATGGTGTCACAAGTAATAAAACAAACATTGAATTCAGTGTTGTCCAGGGAAGCAATCTTGGGCCTTTGCTCTTCCTGGTTTATATAAATAATATATCAAAACTAGAAACAAGAAGCAAATTATTCTTATTTGCAGATGATATGGCAGTGGTGACTACAGCGTAGGATGAGGTGTATGAGCGGGCATCGTCCGACTCACTTAAGTTGAAAAATTGGTTGGATCATAATTCTTTAACTTCAAACGTAACAAAAACTAAATGTCTTCCAATTTTTTTAAAAAAGGAGAGTGATCCGAGCCCGCGTCATTTACGTTTGTACTCCTGTGGTGATCCGGCGTCACGTGACTGTGACTGTAACGTCATCGAACGTGTGTCACAATACAAATATTTGGGCATAATTATGGACGAAAAACTAAGCTGGGTTCCTCACGTGTGGTATGTCAAGCAGAGGCTTAGAAAATTAGTATATGCATTCAATCAGCTGGGCCAGGTGCTGGCGGTGGATCACTCCAGGATGGTGTATTATGCCTATGTGCAGTCGGTGTTACAATACGGTGTCCTGGTATGGGGTGACGTCTCGTCAGCTGTGCTAGAGCCCTTATTCATCTCACAAAAATCATTGATAAAAAAAATTCTTAAAAAACCTCTCCGTTACTCAAAAGACCAGTTTTTCCTTGATTTTCCAGTACTAAACGTCAGACAGCTTTTCATTAGAACATTATTATTGTTCATTAAATCCAATAAAGAACAAATATTTTCTGAAATTCACCATAGGTACCCTACAAGAAATCGTTTAAATCTTGGCTTCAGTTGCCCAAAATATATTCTTACGACCACTAACAAAAATTCATTATATTGCTCACGTACTGTACCGTAATCTTCCAACAAACATTATTGAGGCTGAGAGTTGCAGTGTTGCTGTTTATAAGCGGATGATAGGCGTGTGGCTCGCGCACATCGGGCGGGCTGCTGCAGAGGCTTTGATCCAGTCGGTCTATATTCCAGACGTCTGATATTGTCACGATTCAGTCATTGGTTACATTTTATTTTACTTGAAAAACATTGTAATCCTGTAATCCGTATTGTTCAGTATGTGATTCAGCTCATTGTGTTGGAGCAAATACAATGGGCTGAGTCTTGTGCGGGGTAGTGCGACGTTGCGTTTAATGATAAAAAATAATTTGCCTCATTTTAGAATTCAAATTTTTGTTAGCTTTTAAAATACAGTTATTTAGTTTAGAGCTTAGATTTATTTAATTTGTGTGCTTAGAATAAAAAAGTGCAGTGATTAGAACAATTTTACAATACCCATAGACTGATGATATTGTTAACTCTTCCCCCGATCACGGATCAATAGTCTATTCGGGGGAATAATTCCTTTTACTCACAATGCATTGTAATATTGTTATTATTTTATGGAATAAATCATTTTGACTTGACTTGTTTTTTTATACAGTTATTGGTTACGGAGAAAATAGAAAAATTGTAATTTAATAATTCCCATTTTATTCTTATATAGAACTAGCATACCCGTCGTGGCTTCGCTCACGAAAATTAAAAAGCTAAATGTTCAACCTGAGTAGGGCCTACACTTCCTTATTTTTTTAATTTATTTAGGCCTAACTATTAAAAATCTGTAAAGCAGTAAAACAATTTTTCAAGCCACATAACGTCGCCACTGTGACAATGTCTTAACTTGACAGGAGACGATTTTCACAGCTTGAGCAAACGTTAAACTGGACTCTGATAACAGTTTCTGTTTGATAGTGTTGCTTCTTATTCCACTAACTAGCCGATCTCGAAGAAAGTCGTTCAACGATGCGCCGAACTCACAGTGCGAGGACATCTTCTTAAAATTTGCTACGTATTTGGCAACTCCTTCCCCCTCTAATTGGTTGCGTGTACTAAACTTGTATCATTCCGCGATGAATGATGGTTTAGGATGTAAATGATCCTGAACTAACTTCACTATATCTTCAAAAGATTTCACGTTAGGTTTATCAAGCGTGCACAAATTGTGTAACAGATTGTACGTTTTCTTCCTGACTACTGTCAATAAAGTACTAACTTTTTTGGCATCACTAATCCCGTTACACTCGACCAATAACTCAAACCTTTCAACGTACGAGGTCCAAGATTCTTCACTCACGTCAAAGTCTCTGATTCTGCTGATGATTCCAGACATTGTATCTTGTTCAAAGAAGACACGAGATAAAATTAACACTGGGTTGTCGTAATCGGACATTAACCCTAATACTTAAAAAATTAAAAATACGGTCAATCAGTTACACCGCACACACAAATAATTAGGTTCTTAATAAAGCCCTCGTTATCACTGTAACTTCCTCGTCGCCACTGTGACGACGTTATAACTTGACAGGAGAGGGGACTAGTGAAAATAAAAACTACATAATTAGTTTATACCACGGGCTGCACGGACCGGGATAGAGGTGTAACGGTTGCTAGACTAGGACGGACTGACGTAGTGGTTAGATACATGGGTATAGCGTGGTCGCGGCAGCCAAAGGGAATTTATTAAAATCACCTGATATTACGTTACAGACGTGGCGTGATATGGTGTGATGTACACACACACACTAACACACATTTACATTTTATACAAATCTGGTTTCCTACAAAAAACACTGTTTTACAAATATATCTATATATATAAAAAGGCAAAGCCCTCACTGACTGACTCACTCACTCACTCACTCATCACTAATTCTCTTACTTCCCATTTACCTAGGAGGCTGAAATTTGGTACACTGATTCTTTAGGCATTAAATAGGAAAACTAAGCTGTTCTGATCGGACTCTCGGGCTCCGCCCCAGTGGCTCTGGAGTTTCCCATGTTAACCTTATGAGTACTCATATTGAAATGGAATTAATGAATCTTAACAGCTGTTTCAATTAAACAAGTTGGTTCTGTTCTATGATGTTCAATAGCATTAAAGTTACAAGGATTACAAACAGGGTGCACAATTAAACAAGTTGGTTCTGTTCTATGATGTTCAATAGCATTAAAGTTACAAGGATTACCAACAGGGTGCAGCACTATTATTTCTTTTAAATTTATGACAACAGCTAATTTGCAACCAAGAGGTGAGTGAGCGTAGCGAACGAACTTCAACCTGGAGGCGAGTTACGTTGCGAACAAGCTAACCTGAAGGCAAGTGAGCGCAGCGAACGAGCTCCAACCTAAAAGATAGTGAGCGTAGCGAACGAACTTCAACCAGGTCGTGATTGAGCCATGCGAACGAGCTCACTTATGAAGTTAAACGGGGCAAAGCCCGCGGGTACAGCTAGTTGAATACATAAAATCATCAAATATACTACAAAACATAATGTAAATATTTTCATTTTACGTAATAAAATATAACCAGCTGTTTCCTTAATAAATAGTGCAGATTCAAAAGTATTCATGTGTTCAAATGCAAATAAATCTTTTCTCCATAAGGATAACATGGGAACTTAAAAAGCCACTGGGGCAGAGACCTTATGGATTTTCTTGAAAACGCTTCTTATTGCACATCTAGAGGTTGATTGGAACCTCCATGACAATTCCTGAGTTTTTATGGCTTGTAGTTTTTAAGTGATCAGTGAGTGAGTGGTATTTGACTTTTATTAGTAAAGATAAGCAAACTGTTGTAGTTTGCTTGTTTGTGGATATATTTCGATCAAACAATGCAAATTTATTTATTTTATACTGAGCAATTAATATTTTACTAAAAAACACACTTTATTACCCTCCCTGTATCATGAAACCTAGATACTTCATAGCGTTACGTCCATAGTAATGGCTTTAATGTCGGCCCATTTATTGCGCAATCACAGGGTTTTATTAAAATGTATCTTAGAAACTTAAAAACACCCTAAAGTATACGGTTTTATATATCATTTTGTTTGATAAATTATGGGCTTTAATATATAAAACATAAAAAAAAAGTTTTCTACAATTTTTGTAGGGGTTAAAATTTCTCAAAAATTATAAAATAAATGAAAAAGTTTTTTGTTTGCGCTCAATACATTTTTATAATTTTAGGTCTACAAATAGCCACTTTGTTCTAAATTTTATGAGGATTCCAAAAATATAATAATATAAGGAAGTAGGTTTGCAAATAAATAAGTTATGGGTGAAAAACAGATTTCGTACATTTAGCGTTAGCTAAGAATGCATAGCCTAACCATAGCTAGGAATCTGGCGGATAATTTAGATCAATATCACTGCCTACTTCTTCAGGATCATCAACCAGCCCTTCAAAATCACTTAAATATTCTTATAATGCACCACGTATATCACTACATTTTATTTTTAACACTAAAACAATGATAAACGTAATAAAACACATCAGTCATCGGAGTGAGGTTAACCAAGTTGTTTACAAATACGCACGTCATCTGTCTGCTACAATATTTTCGGAACTAAAATGAAAAGCGTCTAGAAACAGACATCAGGAGAAAGCTTCTAAAGAATCTGCTGGAAACAACGATACCAATCTCGGTCCAGTTCAATCTTATTCAGTCAGTCCCAGAGCCTTCGCCGTAAACGATGTTTGTGTGTTGCAAAAGCAACGCATAACACCACGGCGGGTGTGTTGTGCGTCGATTACGCGACGCTTAACACTCGGAGGGCCAGACCTAATGATATTTAAATAGATTTATTTAAAAATCCTATCAGGTAAATGGAAATTCGCTTAGTCTGCAGGTTTGCTGCGGCAGGGGTATTTAATGCACAAATAGTTACTAGTAAGTTAAATATCTTGCTTTTTTTCAAGGGGTAAGTTTTGACCTGGGCACTTGGAGTTTTTAACAGCCACAATTGTAGAAAATGTCTGTACTGCCATAAAAAGGTTTATTGAAGAGAAAGAATTGTTCACAAACTTCTATTTTATTAGGTTGTGAAATTGGAATACAGTTAACCATACTTTAAACTGTTAAATCTTTCAGAATCTTGAAAACCAAGAGAGAAAGCATGCAATTCAGAAGGAGCACCTGAGTCGAGAACAAAGGTACCTGAGAAGGCGGCTTGAACAATTGGGTTCTCTCTACACAAAAAGACGATCTGTTTCTGAGTGTTCTATTTCTACAGTGTCAAGTACAAACTCATCCAGATCTTCTTCTTCAGTACCTGTATCTGCCCCTTCACCCTCTTCCATCTCTGAATCTGGTAAGAACTTGTCATGTAATATTGCTATTACGGAATTTATTTTCAGGAAGTAAGCGATTAGGGAACTAGTAACAGAAAGAGGTCTGTACAACTGTTTATTTTGAGGTGCCTACAACAACAAAAACATCATTTGACTACACTGTTTGACATGTTGCCTACCAGCCATCACACCCCTCTGTGTGAGGTCTCTTGTGTGACCTGGTAGTGAATGTGTTAAACATTTGTCTAATAAATGATCTGTTCACAATAGCTCAATCGTGATTTGCATAATAAATCAAAACTAGCTGTTGGCCCGTCCAACATACGGGAATCAAGAAGTCGATTACAACTGAATATAATTCAGAACAGCTAGTTTACACACATGAAGAAAAATTCTGGCAGCTTTAATAGGGAAAATGATCTTGTAAACAAATATCACGTGACCACCTATTTCTTCAGCCGATTATAGGCCTATACGATATGCATTTTAAATCCGATAACTTTATATTAAAACAGTAATTGTGTTTATTTGAAAAGCCTTGAAGTTGGATTGGCGGTCGATTCACACACACTGGTTTAAAGTACAGTAGCTACATGTTGTTGAATATTCCGAGAATCTACAAATAATCGCTAACCAGAAAACTATAAAAAAGTTATTTTAACAAAAACCTGAATGATGTTGTTTATTCAAATTCAACTTTAACACTAACAAATCATCTGTTAATAAACAATAAATAATATTAAACACAGACTGTTAGAAACATGATTAGAGTTATTACTAAATCTCAACACTTTCCCTCATGTTTATAACTGTTTCAAAAAAGTTTATCTCAATCATAGCTTCACACAAGGTCTTCAGTCGTGGCCTATGATGTGGTTTGGTCAAACAGTCTGCAGCTCTCCAATGACTGTGATGCTTTCCCCACAGCAAAAGCAATATCAGGACGGGTTCCGGTCACCAGATACATACATGCTCCAACACATTCTCTGTATGGTGGTAATACTTTAGACTTAACTTTTTCTTGAAGGTCTACTTTCCCTACTGTTGTGTCCTTTATGATAGTAGTCCATGCCGAAACGTTTAAGAATTCTTTTGGTATATCCCTCCTGGTTAATTCTTATAGATCCATCTTCTTCTTGCTTTATTTCTAGCCCAATAAAGTAAGACGCCGGTTTTTTAACTATTTTAAACTCTTGTTTCAAGTCTTTCATGAAGTCTTCGAGCATTTCAGGATCCCTTGAAGCAGAAGCTTCTTTACACGCTCTTTTTTAATGACAGGGATCTGCTTCACTCTTATTTAAGCCAAGTTGAATCAGAAAGTTGCCAATTCTTTTGTTCCAACACCGAGGAGCTTGTTTGAGAATTGAGACCATACAAACTCCTTATTAAACGGCATACTCTTCCTGAACCATCATCGTATCCCTCTGGCTGCTTCATATAGACTGTCTTTTCTAGGTCTCCATAAAAAAGACTGTAGAAACATCAAACTGTTTCAGTGACATTTTCTCATTAGCTGCAGTACTTAACAGTGCTCTTACTGTTCCCAGTCTAGCCACAGGACTAAATGTCTCAAAATAGCACTCCTTTCTGTTGTGAGTACCCCTTGATCAACAACCTTGCCTTGAACCTTTGAAAGTTATAGAACTACAGGAACATAGACCACGCTAGAAACGTCCGATTGGGAGCTAGTTGACCGTATTACTACACAAAAAGCTGATAGGATTGGAGAACTAACTAAGGAGAACCATATTAAGAAGTTTAATTCTCTTCTCGTAAAACAATCTGCCTCACCGGCTCCTCCAGTAATTGACAGCGACAAGATGGTTATCAACCTCACGGATGAAAACATCGATGAAGCTACGAAGTCTCTTCTTTTAAAGGGACTGAACTACGCTATTGCTCCGAACAGAATACCTACGGAGGAAATTGTCGTTGCTGTTGAAAACGCTATTAAGAATCTTCCAACTGTAGAGTCTGAAGAAATTCTACAGGAGGTTTCAGCTACTACGGAAAGCCAAGCCACCGCAATCTAACTTAACCCGGGAGGAGAGATTCGCCTTACGCAAATTATCCAAGGATGATTAAAAAATTGTACTTCCAGCGGACAAAGGCAATGCAACAGTCGTCAAGAAGAAGGAAGACTACAAACACAAAATGACAAAGATGCTAAATGAAGGTCCTTACAAAGTCATTCGCAATCCCACATCTAGAATTACTACATCAGTCAACAAACTCATTCGTTCTATGCCACAGCTTAGTGAAGAATACAAACGCCATCTTATTAACTCTGATCCACGACCTCCGATCATCTACGGTCTTCCCAAAGTTCACAAGGACGGGATTCCTATGCGACCCATAGTCAGTTCAATAGGATCACCTACGTACAACATCGCCAAGTTTGTTTCTAAACATCTTTCTGAGTTCGTTAGGCTGACTGGAATCGTTTGTTAAGGACTCCAGACACTTCATCGAAATAATTAAGCACGTTAAACTGGATGATAATGATATCTTAGTGAGCTTTGATGTTGAATCACTTTTTACTAGCATTCCTATTCCAGAAACAGTAGACATCATAAGAACAATCCTGGATGACAGCTTAGCTCAGTTAGCAGAGATTTGCCTAAATTCCACGTATTTTTACTTCGATGGAAAATACTTTGAACAAACAGAAGGGGCAGCGATGGGTTCACCGTTATCTCCTGTAGCAGCCAACTTATTCATGGAAAATTTTGAGAGAAATGCATTAGAGTCGGCCATGCTGTGTACAGAAAACCAACGCATACCAACAGATATTTAAACGCTCAATCACATCACCACCCGGCACAGAAAAACGGCATATTAAACACACTGATAAATAGAGCAATCCGCATCTCAGACATGGAAAACAGGATTAGTGAAGAAAAAGTGATAACTTCGGCCCTCTTAAGCAACGGTTATAGTAAAAAGGATATTAAGAGAGCTTTTAAGAGACAGGAATGTAGGCTAGCACAAGTAGCAGCAACTGATAACCAAAAAGTCAGTGACAACAGTGAGAAAAGACATAATTCGCATCTTCCTTATGTGAAAGGGACATCGGAGAAGATTGGCAGGATTCTCAAAAAATACAACATTACACCAGTATATAGGCCTCTGAGAAAAATTAGCTCACTCCTACCCAATGGAAAAGACAAATTACCCCTAAGCGCACCGGGTGTATACAAGATTCCTTGTTCCTGTGGAAAAGTTTACATCGGAGAAACCAAACGGATGATTTCAACTAGATTGAAAGAACACATTCGCCAGACAAAACAGGAAAATATTGAAAAATCGGCAGTAGCAGAACACAGCTTTACAACAAAACACGCCATAGAATTTGACAAAGTTAAAGTACTCGCTAAAGAACCCTATTTCTACCATAGAAAAATCAGAGAAGCTATTGAAATCAAAAAACATCCAGATAATTTCAATTAAGATGAGAGCTACAAGCTTCCACAGTCATGGAATCCGGTATTACGTCACCTTGTTTACTAGAAACTACTAGAAACAGCCAGAGCAAGGGGAGTATGCATTCCTGCATTCCACGCGCTCGCCAATGACCTCACCCCAGCTATATAGTATACCTGGACGGACTTCTCTGACTTAGTCTCAGCCTAGCCACTGAGGATGCCACTTCATAGTAAGGGCGAAACGCCTGGCAGTGCAACTGACGACGCGGTTTACGCCGAAAACCATCACCATGGATTTCAATGAATGCATTTAAATACACAATCAAAATCCATAGCATTGCAATAGAATTGTGTTATTGTCACCGTTGCCTAGCAACTAATTATTTTTATTTTTGCTGATTCCTCAAATTATTTCTTTACATAACCTTAAAGTTGTAGTTGTGTTGACTATCAGTGTGCATTATTATAGTGGTGACTAGTGGTAATAGGGTATAGTGTGGTGAAAAATAGCGTTCGTACCACGGACCGAAATGGTTTTGCAGCTCTCGATAAATTTAAGTTAAGAAGTTAAGAAAATGGATTCTAAGTACATTATTATTTACAAAGTAATTAATACGAATTACAAAAAACTGATAAGATTTTTTTGTCTCTTTTGTCGTGAATCATGAATTGCAGGTCTAACTTCCTCCTCCTCGGTGCGCGCGTCATAGCTTATTTTTGGTATTTTTTCCCTGGTGGGTTGGTGCAAGAAACGCCTTTAGAGTGTTGTATATTTGACTCCGCATGGGATACTTCCAAATCCAACAAATGTTGAAGCTGCACCACCAGATCTTCTTAACAATATCTAAGTGTGCAAAAAGGTGTAAAAGTGGTTGCACTTGTCGGAAGAACGGGGTCAAATGTACGAGGAATGTTTTTTAAGTTCTCCGTTCCAGCGCTGCGATTGGCATTTTGGACATTTGCGCTGTGTATGTGCATCTATTGGCAAGCCTGCACCACCCAGTGCATTGCTCATCATGAACGTTAGTGGGACCGTCTTTAAATGTCCTTACCCACTTGTGTAACATTCCGTCACTCATAATGTTCTTGCCATACACTTGACTTATCTTTAGACTAGCAACAGTGCCCGTTGTGGTTAAATACAACGGTCTCCAGTAAAATAATGGTTATGAAATCCATACACCACTTTACTCACTAATATTAATGGTACAGTTTAAGCACATAACATTAGAATCACACACTTAACATAATGAACACACTTTAAATACAAATGCAAATTGTTAACAACAACATTTAATCAAAGAAAAATTAATTAGATAACAATATAAAAATAAGCTGTTGAATTATTAACACATGTTTCGTATGATTAGATTATGCATACTGGTAAACAAATTATTACCATCTATAAAAATAATTGGTTTTTCTTTTCCGAGTCGGGTTAGCTCTTCTATCCGACCGATTTTCATAATTTTGGCCTTAAATCAAAGGTAGGACGTACCGCAGATATGCCATCAAGCATCGGCATTCATTTTGACGTATATTTCGATTTATGCCCAAACTGCCTCACTGTACATTTCTTATGGGAGTTAAATTTG